TGACGCAATATAAACGATAGCGATGATAGTGCGCTCCCCGAACGCAGCCCAAGTTCGTATGATAAAATTTGAAGAAGTTCAAGAATTTTGAAAACGTTAAAAATTATAAATAATTTCACATCCAAATCCATAGTTAAAGAAGTCCTGAAAGAAGATATGTCCGTAGGGCGAGGACAGTCCGCGACACGCGGCGGAATATATGAGTAAAGCTGCAAGACTGTTGGTGAAACTCCAGATGTATGACGAGGCGGCGGACGCAATACGTCGCGAAATTGGCATGTATCAGGATATCAAATATTATCAGTCACTTGGAAGGCTCACTGTGGCATTGGTATTGGTGCAATTGGCGCGAGGTGATCAAGTTGCGGCCGAGAAGGCCTTCAAAGAATGGGGTAACTTCTGCGAGGCCCCCGAAGTACGTGAGAAAAAATAATCAATTTAAGTGTAACAAAAAGGAATTTTAGTAAATAGTATTATTAGTAAAATTTTCTCAATATTACTCAGCAAAAAGTTGTTTGGCAATCGAAAACTTGCCAATTACGTAGATAATTGCGATTTATTGATTATTACAGGTGCAAACGTTGGAGATACTGCTGCAGGCATATGATAACGAGGACGCAGATGCAGCTCGGGCGGCCCTTAATAGTCCCTTTATCAAGCACATGGACGTGGAATACGCCAAGCTAGCACGAGGTTTACCTTTACCACAACAGGAATACGCTATCCCGCCTGCTGGTGTAAGAGCCAACGCCGCGGAATCCTATGTTTCTCCCAATGCGTCCAAGGTCACTGGACAGGCTACCGTCGAAGCGGAAGTTAACCACGTAACTTTACGTTTTATCATTATCCACTATTTTACTATAGATATTTTATCATTTCGTCGGGCATACAATAACGACGGTTTGTTGATTTTATAGACGAAGAACGAAGTCAGTGAAACTAGCCAATCAACAGAAAAGATGGTTGAGAAGAAGTCGGAAGTTGCACCACCGCCGAAACCGACACAGAAGCGGGAAGAAGATGACTACGAGGAAGGCCTATGCTAATCATCTTTACATGTAAAAAAAACCCTGCTATATTGCTTATAAACTTTTAACCATGTAACGCTTGCATGTATATTGAGCGTTTCGTCGAAAGCACATTATTCGCTTCAAAAGAATTTATCTTTCAGCTTAACTCTTGACTCACAGAATTATTAGAATGAAATGTGAAAATGTGAAAAAAGGATAACAATCTATGTGTTTTTTATTTTTATTTTAAATTTCCATTTAATATTGATATATCAGTCAGTTTAATTCACTTATTAACTTTCTCTAT